TTGAAAGTGAACATAGAAAAGAGTAAGGTGATGAGGGTATCAAATGATTTAGATAAAGAAAAATTGGATATTAAATTGGGGAGTTGATGTATCAGCGGATGGATTTATGAAGGATGAGTTGAATCACAGAATTGATGAGGGAAAAAAGGTGAGTGGTGCGTTGAGGTATATGTGGAGACAAAGAACGTTATCTATGGAGGCAAAGAAGGGAATGTATGAAAGTATAGTGGTACCAACACTCTTATATGGGTGTGAAGCTTGGGTTGTAAATACTGCAGTGAGGAGGTGGTTGGAGGCAGTGGAGATGTCCTAAGGGCAATGTGTGGTGTAAATATTATGCAGAAAATTCAGAGTGTGGAAATTAGGAGAAGGTGTGGAGTTAATAAAAGTATTAGTCAAAGGGCTGAAGAGGGGTTGTTGAGGTGGTTTCGTCATTTAGAGAGAATGGATCAAAGTAGAATGACATGGAGAGCATTTAAATCTAAAGGGGAAGGAAGGCAGGGTAGGGGTCATCCTCGAAAGGGTTGGAGGGAGGAGGTAAAGGAGGTTTTGTGGGCGAGGGACTTGGACTTCCAGCAAGCGTGCGTGAGTGTGTTAAATAGGAGTGAATGGAGACGAATGGTATTTGGGACCTGACGAGCTGTTGAGTGTGAGCAGGGTAATATTTAGTGAAGGGATTCAGGGAAACCGGTTATTTTATATAGCCGGACTTGAATCCTGGAAATGGGAAGTACAATGCCTGCACTTTAAAGGAGGGGTTTGGGATATTGGCAGTTTGGAGAGATATGTTGTGTATCTTTATACGTATATACTTCTAAACTGTTGTATTCTGAGCACCTCTGCAAAAACAGTGATTATGTGTGAGTGAGGTGAGTGTTGAATGATGATGAAAATGCTTTCTTTTTTGGGATTTTCTTTCTTTTTGGGTCACCCTGCCTCGGTGGGAGACGGCCGACTTGTTAAAAAAAAAAAATGCATGTGTAGTGTGACCCAAGTCTACGTAGAAGTAGCAAGACGTACCTGAAATTTTGCATGTTTATGACAGAAAAAAGACACTAGCAATCCTACCATCATGTAAAACAATTACATACAGGCTTTCATTTTATGCCCACTTGGCAGGATGGTAGTACCTCCCTGGGCGGATGCCATCTACCAACCTACTACCTATTAACTTTATTAACATACTAAGTATGTAATATGAAATAAGCATTGGCTTCCAAAGCCAGTGGTGAAGCCGAGAGGAAACATGTGATTCTCAGTGTTAAGCAGAAACTAATAAGGAAGGCTGAGTGTGGCGTCTCATTGGCATGGGTATGTGAGGAATGTGGTGTTAAGAAACAGTGTTTGATATCCAGAGAGGCAAGGACAAATATAGACTATGCAACGTAGCCCATGTTTCTCCGATTAAACATACCTGGGGTCAATGCCTCCATGGCCCGGTCTGAGACCAGGCCTCATGGTGGATCAGGGTCTGATCAACCAGGCTGTTACTGCTGGCTGCATGCAAACTGACGTATGAACCACAGCCTGGTTGGTCAGGTACTGACTATAGGTGCCTGTCCAGTGCCTTCTTGAAGACAGCCAGGGGTCCACTGTACAGTGGACCCTCAGCTAATGATATTAATCCGTTCCTGAGAGCTCATCGTTAGACGAAATTATCGTTAGCCGAATTAATTTTCCCCATAAGAAATAATGGAAATCCAATTAATCCGTTCCAGACAGCCAAAAGTATTAAAAACAATAATTATTTTTTTCATGAAATATACATTTCCCTACAAACAAAAGAGTGAGACACGCACAATAACTATATAAATAAATGTTAAAATGACACTTACCTTTATTGAAGAGTATTGATGAGTGATGAGACACTGTTTTTCTTGAACACTCTGGGATTTTCAGAGTGATACATGAGTAAAGGCTTCACTTTGCAATCCCCACTAGCATTACAACAAAATAAGAAAGTTAGCATGTCTTTCATAAGCTTGTGTCCTGGGAGTGCCTTTTCCTCCTGAGTAATGTAGGTTCTGTTTGGCATTTTCTTCCAGGACAGGCCTGTTTCGTCACAACTGAGCACTTGTTGGGGTTGGAATTTTTCAGCTTCGCCATGCCTTATCACACTGTGTATGCCACTATGATTCTTAAATCTCTCAAACCAACCTTTGCTGGCCTTAAATTCACTAATATGAGCACTAGTTCCAGGCATTTTTTCCTGTTCACCTGGGTGTTAGTCAACTGGTGTGGGTCGCATCCTGGGGTACAAGATTAAGGACTCCAATGGAAACAGGTTAGACAGACCTTGATGACTCACTGACTTTCTTGGGCTATCCTGGGTGGCTAACCCTCTGGGGTTAATTGTTTCTCGGTAATTGTTTCTTGTTAAGCCACACCAACAAAAGTCTCCTCCACATCTTCGAGGAGTACAGCTGACGGTGGTACAGCAGCAGCTGACGGTGGTACAGCAGCAGCTGACCGTGGTACAACAGTATTTCGATAGTATTTCTCACCCTTATTACCACAAGGTTGGCACTAGATGCTTTCTTTGGGTCCATGGTGGCTTATTTAGCAGTTACAAGTACTATAAACAATGGAATAATACAAAATGTATTGAATGTATGTATGAAACCGGCCACCCTGGCTTGTAAAGAATGACGGCAGGGCAGCTGAGGCGCTCAAACTGGACGGACAGGTTCAGGATGAATCACGTTGGGCGAGTTTTTTATCATTAGCCTGGCCAAAATTTTTACGCTCATACGCTTCGTTGGGTGGATTTAACGTTATGTGATGCATTCGTTAGCCGAGGGTCCACTGTACAGTTATTGTAAATTACAGTGGACCCCCGCATAACGATGGCATCACATAGCGATTATTTCGCATACCGCTTACTTTAATTGCAAAAATTTTGCCTCACATACCGCTTAAAAACCCGCTTACCGATTTTCGTCCGAGACGCGTCCAATGTGCGGCCTGAGCCACGCTCACATGTTCCGCCGGTGGCATTGTTTACCAGCCAGCCTCCGCGGTAACATCCAAGCATACAATCGGAATATTTCGTATTATTACAGTGTTTTCGGTGCTTTTTCTGGAAAATAAGTGACCATGGGCCCCAAGAAAGCTTCTAGTGCCAACCCTACAGCAATAAGGGTGAGAATTACAATAGAGATGAAGAAAAAGATCATTGATAAGTATCGCTACTATTGGTGGTACAGCTGCTGCTGCTGCTGCTGTTGCTGCACTGTCAGCTGCTGCTGCTGCTGTAGCATCGTCTGCTGCTGCTGCTGCTGTAGCATCGTCTGCTGCTGCTGTAGCATTGTCTGCTGCTGCTGCTGCTGCTGTAGCATCGTCTGCTGCTGCTGTAGCATCGTCTGCTGCTGCTGCTGCTGTAGCATCGTCTGCTGCTGCTGTAGCATTGTCTGCTGCTGCTGCTGCTGCTGTAGCATCGTCTGCTGCTGCTGTAGCATCGTCTGCTGCTGCTGTAGCATCGTCTGCTGCTGCTGTAGCATCGTCTGCTGCTGCTGCTGCTGTAGCATCGTCTGCTGCTGCTGCTGCTGTAGCATCGTCTGCTGCTGCTGTAGCATCGTCTGCTGCTGCTGTAGCATCGTCTGCTGCTGCTGCTGCTGTAGCATCGTCTGCTGCTGCTGTAGCATCGTCTGCTGCTGCTGTAGCATCGTCTGCTGCTGCTGTAGCATTGTTGCTGCTGTACCACCGTCTGTTGCTGCTGTACCACCGTCAGCTGCTGCTGCTGCTGTAGCACCGTTGTTGGTGTGGCTTATTGAGAATACCAAGAAACAATTAACCCCAGAGGATTTGCCACCCAGGATAACCCAAAAAAGTCAGTGTCATCGAAGACTGTCTAACTTATTTCCATTGGGGTCCTTAATCTTGTCTCCCAGGATGCAACCCACACAAGTCGACTAACACCCAGGTGAACAGGGAAAAATGCCTGGAACTAGTGCTCATATTGGTGAATTTAAAGCCAGCAAAGGTTGGTTTGAGAGATTTAAGAATCGTAGTGGCATACACAGTGTGATAAGGCCTGTTCTGGAAGAAAATGCCAAACAGGACCTACAGTACTCAGGAGGAAAAGGCACTCCCAGGACACAGTGTCTCATCAGTCATTGCTGCATCTTCAATAAAGGTAAGTGTCATTTATTCTTCATTTAGTAGACTAGTACATGCACAATATATACTGTGCATGTACTACTCTACTATTGTGCATGTATCCTTCTCTTTGTGTGTGGGAAAATGTATATTTCATGTGGTAAAATTTTTTTTTTCATACTTTTGGGTGTCTTGCACGGATTAATTTTATTTCCATTATTTCTTATGGGGAAAATTCATTCACATAACGATTATTTCGCATAACAATTACCCCTCTTGCACGGATTAAAATCGTTAACTGTAAAAATTAGTATACTGTTATCTACTGCACATGACAGTACGTACTACTGTACTTTCAACTTCATTATACTGTATATTTAATTTCTGTATAGTACTGTGCTGTTTTACAGGTTACAGTATTTTCAGTGTCTGGTAGACTTCTGAATTAATGGACCAAGACAGTTGATTCCGAGCATTCTTCATTTGTTATAATCATGAAAAGTATATTTTATAATTCAGAATCTATGGACAAACAGCAGTAACATATATTCCCTTCTCACTATTAGTCTATTAATTTGATGGTTCACTGTAGAATACTTAAAGTCTTTTTATTGCTATTTTTAACAATTCTGATTTAATGGACAGTGACAATGAATGCCTTTACAACAAGGTTCTACTGTACTTTTATATACTTTTTTTTTTTTTACCAAACTGTCCATTTCACATCAAAGTATGGTGAAACTGTCTTGACAAAAATCCATGGACATTGCAATTCAAATAACCCTCAAAGCTGCAACGTCCCCAACTCCTTCATCAGGATGCAGGCACTGCATTTCCCACGTCTAGAACTCAAATCTGGATAAATTTCTGAAAACACTATTAAATCCACAAACAAAACTTACTTTGTTTTCCTAAACTTGTTCCAGGCTTGTATCCCATTTTCTGAAGCATAGAGAAACCTATGTTGGAGGAGCTAATAGCAGTGCTGAGGCCTTCCTCTAAGCGTTCTTTCTGCACCTCCTTCACTGGTTTAAATCTGGCTCGTTGCTCATTATCCTTTTTTTTCTTTTTCTTCTCCATTTCTGCCTGACGTTTAGAGGAATGTGAAAACATAAGCCCTGGTCTGACGTCATCCTTACCAACACTGAAATGCAAATTCCAATCATCAGGAACAGGAAATATAATGGATGGATGCAGTCTTATATAAAAAAGTAGAGTGACAAAATTATATTAAAAAATGAATGCTAAACCCATATGGTCAAACAGCACTATGATGTGTTTTGTAAGGGTAGGGATTAGTGGAGATGGAACTTAGTACAGGTGGCAAATTAATGTCAAAGTCATTCCAATAGGCTTGTTTCTTTCAAAAGGCCAAAGAATGAGGCTGCATTGAAGTTAGGACTTTTGGTAAGGTCAGAATGAGTGGGACAGAGTGCTGCAAATGTCAAAAACGAATTTTGCCTACTCTCTGATAGATAGGGCAATCTATTAACATATGAATGAAAAGACGATGGCCAGGAACTCTATTCCAGTTTCTCGTTTGAAGTTAAATAGGTTGGATAATAAAAAGAAATAAATCTGTTACTTGAGCAGAATGTAATACATCAGATATATGGTGTCCTATAGCTCAATCGGCAGCGCACTCGGCTCACACACTGAGGTCCGGAGTTCAAATCTCCAGTATGGCTGGAAAACATTAGGGACACGTTTCCATAAGACACCTGTTGTCCCTGTTCATCCATCAGTATAAAATGGATACTTGGGCGTTAGTCAACTGGTGTGCGTCACATCCTGGGACAAAACTGACCTAATTTACCTGAAATGTTCAGCATAACAAGCGGCTTTCTATATATGCAGCAGAATGTCATTGATGTCAGCTAGGCCTGTATACCATGTACATGTACTTGTAGTAAATAAAGATATTTATTTATACTGTACACCAAAAACAAAACCAAAATTATTTATGGTAGTATAGTATCATATTTAGATCTGCTGATAACTTACCAAAACTGGTAATAAAATTTACACACTGTAGATTGTTTTACCTAAATTTGAACTTTTTTTTTTTATCACACTGGCTATCTCCCACTGAGGCAGGGTTACCCAAAGAAGAAAAAACACTTTTACCATCACTCAATCTTTCACTGCCTTGCCAGAAGAATGCCGATGCCACAGTTTCCCCACCCCTCCTTCAGCACACAGGCATTGTACTATCCCCCCTCCAGGACTAAAGTCTGGCTAACCAGTTTCCCTGAATCCCTTCATAAAAGTTACCTTGCTCACACTCTAACAGTACATCAAGTTATAAAAACCAATTGCCTCCAACTAATATGCTCACACACACACACTTGCTACATGTACCAAGCTCCTTGCATACAAAACCTCCTTTACCCTCTCCTTCCAACCTTTCATAGGGTGACCCCTATTCAGCCTTCTGTCTTTACATATTTATACACCCTCCAAGTCATCCCATTTTTCTCCATCCTCCCTAAATGTCCAAACCAGCTCAAAAACCCTTCCTCAGTCCTCTGGATAATACTTTAAGGAACCCAGTACCTCCTCCTAATCTTTAAGCTTTGAATTCTCTGCATAATATTTACACCATACATTGCCCTCAGATACATTATCATCTCCACTGCCTCCAGCTTCTTCCTTGCTTCAACAATCACAACCCAGATAAGAGGGTTAGTACCAATATCCCCTTTATACTTTCCCTTTTTTAGCCTCCATGGATAACATTCTTTGTCTCCACAGATGCCTCAATGCATCACTCATCTTTTGAACTTACCTAACCAAATGCTCTTCAACTTGGGGTAGTTTAGACTTGGTAAAATATATCCTTTGACATTCACCCACGACTTTAAAAATTGTGTGGAAAAAGACACTTATGTACAGTTCAGGACATTTATTAAAGGAAACGTTTCGCCACGAGTGGCTTCTTCAGTCCTAATACAGAGAAAACTAAGAAAACACACATATATATAGTGGTGGGAGTCAGGTGAGGTGAAGCGTGGGTAGAGGTGGTAATAGTAGTAGTAGTAATGGAACTAAGGAGGTGAGGTTAGAGAGGGACCTGCTGGCATCAAGTAACACCAGTTCCCAGGATGGGTAATATCCTCTTGCTTAGTAATTTTGAAATATTGTAACTACCGGATTTTTGCTTTATAGTGTTACTGACAGAAATTAGTGCAGCTTCAATGCATTTTCTCCGTCTTAAGTCGTCTTCTTTAATAACTAGTTTAGCTTCATTGAATTTCATGAGGTGTCCAACATCGTCTCTATGTTGAACACATGCGTTTTTGCGGTCATCATTTCTGCAAGCATTTTTGTGTTCTGCTATTCTAATGTCCAGAGTTCTGGCTGTTTCCCCTACATATACTTTGTCACACCCCCCACATGGTATAGTGTAGATTCCTGCACTTGTGCCAGAATCATGCTTGGGTTTTTGTATCAGGTTCCTAATAGTAGTTGAAGAGCTGGTAGATATTTTAGCCAGTTTTCTGTCAAACATTTTTGAAACATTAGTGGCAACGTTGCTGACCGGTAAAACGATGTAACTTGGAGGCTTTTCTTCAATTTGATAGGTGTTGGTCTTGCTGAGGATACGTGTTGCACGTTTCCTGCAGTCACGTATGAAGTGTAGGGGAAAGTGTAGTGAACTAAAAGAGTTGGTGATGTATGCAGTTCCTCGAAGAAGAATGTACATACATCACCAACTCTTTTAGTTCACTACACTTTCCCCTACACTTCATACGTGACTGCAGGAAACGTGCAACACGTATCCTCAGCAAGACCAACACCTATCAAATTGAAGAAAAGCCTCCAAGTTACATCGTTTTACCGGTCAGCAACGTTGCCACTAATGTTTCAAAAATGTTTGACAGAAAACTGGCTAAAATATCTACCAGCTCTTCAACTACTATTAGGAACCTGATACAAAAACCCAAGCATGATTCTGGCACAAGTGCAGGAATCTACACTATACCATGTGGGGGGTGTGACAAAGTATATGTAGGGGAAACAGCCAGAACTCTGGACATTAGAATAGCAGAACACAAAAATGCTTGCAGAAATGATGACCGCAAAAACGCATGTGTTCAACATAGAGACGATGTTGGACACCTCATGAAATTCAATGAAGCTAAACTAGTTATTAAAGAAGACGACTTAAGACGGAGAAAATGCATTGAAGCTGCACTAATTTCTGTCAGTAACACTATAAAGCAAAAATCCGGTAGTTACAATATTTCAAAATTACTAAGCAAGAGGATATTACCCATCCTGGGAACTGGTGTTACTTGATGCCAGCAGGTCCCTCTCTAACCTCACCTCCTTAGTTCCATTACTACTACTACTATTACCACCTCTACCCACGCTTCACCTCACCTGACTCCCACCACTATATATATGTGTGTTTTCTTAGTTTTCTCTGTATTAGGACTGAAGAAGCCACTCGTGGCGAAACGTTTCCTTTAATAAATGTCCTGAACTGTACATAAGTGTCTTTTTCCACATCTTGTCGGTATCACCATACCATTTCCTCTTTAAAAATTGTGTTAGAGAATAAAACATACTTAAAACAGATTATCTTACCTGGAGTATACGGAAAACAATAGTGCAATGCACATCTGCACTTTGTAACAACTTGCTTGATCTGTTTTATAATTCTAAGTTTCTACTCACTTACAAGACTAAATATGTACTTTCTCCATTTAGAGTTGTTTCACAACACACCTTGTTGTGGGGATCTACATCATTCTTTATGAGAATACAATAAACCTGTTGGACATTATCATATGAAGTTAGAAACATGTACCTTACACCACACAACAGACAATGCATGTGTAAATTCATCCACTGTCACAGCTTAGAACAATGCTAAGTTCATCACTAAGGAAGACCTACAGAGTACAAAGTTCTTAAAGGCAAATGTGATTCAAAGTTTCGATACCATAAAACAGTATCAAGAATGTTAATATATCACTTTGTCTCTGGAAAAACTAAGCACAGCATCAGCAAAAATTTTATCACCCCATCCCTGCTTCCAACCTATGTATATCATGAAGTAATAATTTCTTGTGCAAATTGTTATTTTTGGCGATAGATACATGTATAAGTAAAATGAATGCATTTTTTAGGTCAGGCAGTACACTGAGACATGTCTCATACCGGGCCACATGTAAACGAAGATGGGTAGCATTTTCAGGCTGTTACGTAACCTAAAAAAATGTAGCACCCTAACCATACCTAATCTTGACTAAATGTTATCTACCATAAACCTAGCTGATTTTTGTTAACATCAACCAAAACAAAAAAAATGCACAAGAAATATATAATCATTCCATGATGTACATAGGATGTAGACACATAAGAACATAAGAAAGAAGGAACACTGCAACAGGTCTACCGGCCCATGCGAGGCAGGTCCAAGTTTCCTACTGGCTTAAGCCAATGATCCAACCTAGTCAGGTCAGGTCGCATCCACTTAAGGAGCACGGCATCAGACCTATTAGCACAAGCTAGTCAGGTCCAATTCACACTGAAGAGTGCAAATTAATGTCAAAGTTCAGCCAAATAGTTATCAGCAACTATGGCCAACAATTGTTGCTGGGGTATATATATTTCAAAAATAAAATGATGGACAAGTTCACACAAGAACCTATTCTCAATATTAGCATTATTAGTCATCATAATGAACGCCAAACCCGTAAGGTCATAGTATCTGGCTAAATGAAGGTAATCAGGTTTAATCCATGGACAGGGAAGGGGTAGTTCTATTTCCTTGGATCAAGGGTTTTCCATCGTCATAAAATTAACCCCTTTATTATTATTATAATTATGGGGGAGCGCTAAACCCGTAGGATTATACAGCGCATGGGGGATGTGGAAGGTATTCAGGCTCAGTTCAGGGAACCGGAGCATAGATCCAATTCCCTAGATCAAGAGCCCCTCACCAGCGTCAAAGAACCTCCCTTAAGGGGTTTACCACCTTTAGAACCATAAATTATGAGCCCTCCACCAGCATTGAGGTACTTCCCTCCCCCTCTACCCTAGAAGGAACCTTTGCCCTAAAATTACCATGTAAATGACAGGAACAATGCCTACCACTGGGCTAAAAAGTCAGCCGACATATAATCAACCTCTTCTTCTGATTCTGCCATTTATTCTGCGAGTTATTGTTCCTCTGAATACGTGTTTTTGGGTCTTCCTTTGTTGGGGGTGTATAGGGCCACAACACTTCACGTCGTACTAAGTTCTACTCTCCAGTGTCTGGGGAAGAAATATTGGCTAAACTTGGGAAGGAAATAGTTTTTTTCCGAGAGCAGAAAAAGGGAACAAAAAGCTCTCAATGAGATCATGTGGAACCCAGGCCTAAATCCTGGCAGATCTAGGTAGATGCCCATATGTCATTGAGTCCGCCGTAAAAACCCACACAGCCGAAAAGAGGAAGCTGATATATGGCGCTAAGACCAATTACTCAAGAGACAGAAAGTTCTTATTTGCGTCTCGTACAAAATTAGATAGTAAATTATACAGGATTTAAGGTAATAACACGACTGCTCCCCAGAGGATTACGGCCATTAATTATAACTTTAAATATGCATTATTAAGTTGGTTTTATAATTGAGATATTATTTTGCTGTGCAAATGGTAAAAAAAAAGAACCTAGCCTAACGAAACCCAAAATAACAATTTACACAAGATATACTTATTCTGTGGTGTATATTAGGTGCATGTAGTGTAATATGTAAATAATGTCAGATTTCCGCTTTGCAGTAGTCGTAACCTATCAATGAATCAATCAAATTTTATTTCTTTGTGTAGTATAGGAAATGTAGTTTACTTGTACTAAAATATTATTAAGAACAAAGAAAGCCACTATCATGCATGTGCCTTTCGGGCATTTACTATGGCTGAATTTAACCTACGGTAACCCAACAGAGCAAAAAAGTGGCCCGTATACTGGTGGCAAAGCTCTCGCTTCACATGCTGAAGATCCGGGTTCGCTTCCCGACAAGGTGGATTATTGTTATTATTATTATAATCAAGGGGGAAGCGCTAAACCCGGAGGATTATACAGCGCCTGGGGGGGAGGATGTTTAAGGCATTCAGGCTTAATTCGGGGAACTGGAGCACAGATCCAATTCCCTAAATCAAGAGCCCCTCACCAACATCAAGGAACCTTCCTTGAGGGGACCGACAAGGTGGAAACACTGAGCGTTTCCATACACCGGTTGTCCATGTTTAGGCCTGTATACCTTGTACATATACTTGTAGAAATAAAGATATATATTATTAAGTGTCCCGGAGACAGAATGGAGAAATTTATCGCCGCTGCTCAGAGTTGGATAGAGATTAATGTCTGCTTTACCAGGGTTAACGCTGGTGTCATTTCCCTACTCAATGCAAGACTACAAATCATTTATTTTAATTGTGGTTAAGGGTTGTGTCACCCCGAAGAGCCCTTGTTTTTTTTTCAAATTGTTAATGATGGGGTGAAGAATTGCAACGGCTCCAAGACCTTATGAACTAAAGTTTCGGAGTTGCGTTTTACAGGACGACCCACGGCACAGCTGTGACCATCAGAAAGGAGGGACGACCCACGGCACAGCTGTGACCATCAGAAAGGAGGGACGACCCACGGCACAGCTGTGACCATCAGAAAGGAGGGACGACCCACAGCACAGCTGTGACCATCAGAAAGGAGGGACGACCCACGGCACAACTGTGACCATCAGAAAGGAGGGACGACCCACGGCACAGCTGTGACCATCAGAAAGGAGGGACGACCCACGGCACAGCTGTGACCATCAGAAAGGAGGGACGACCCACAGCACAGCTGTGACCATCAGAAAGGAGGGACGACCCACGGCACAGCTGTGACCATCAGAAAGGAGGGACGACCCACAGCACAGCTGTGACCATCAGAAAGGAGGGACGACCCACGGCACAGCTGTGACCATCAGAAAGGAGGGACGACCCACAGCACAGCTGTGACCATCAGAAAGGAGGGACGACCCACGGCACAGCTGTGACCATCAGAAAGGAGGGACGACCCACAGCACAGCTGTGACCATCAGAAAGGAGGGACGACCCACGGCACAGCTGTGACCATCAGAAAGGAGGGACGACCCACAGCACAGCTGTGACCATCAGAAAGGAGGGACGACCCACGGCACAGCTGTGACCATCAGAAAGGAGCAACGACCTCGTCACAATTCACGGTCTGTGGCCCTAAGGAAGGTGAAATGACCCCCGTCACAGCTCACGACCTTCCTGAGGACTACGGGTCGTGCAAAATAAAAGGAATGTGGGGTTAATAATAGACCCATGGTTTATATTCTTATATTCTTATGCTGATGTAATTGCTGATTTTTCATTAACAAAATAACTTGAGGCTTAAAAAAAATATACTTTTTTCTGTTTTCCTTTTGCTACAGATAATCTTATTGCAACATTAACTAGCCAAAATGTGTGACATTTCATAATTTTCAATTTATCTAGACATCTTTCTGGTCTTTGAATGTGATAATAACATCAGAAGATTTAAATATACAACCATAGAAACATGATAATTATGGTAATTTTTATATCTATAAGACATAGTATGCAATTGGTATAATATTAATTGACATTACTGCAATATTTTAGACATCTTCTAGTTACGCAGAACATTTCGGGCAGCCTTAAAATTAACTTATAACTACTGAACAGCTATTTAATATCTCACTCACATAAAAATATATGAAGTCACTTAAATAACATACTCGCATCACATCTTTATTTAAATTTCAGAGAAAGTAGAAATTTCAGTAAATATTTTAACCGGTAGTCTTACAAAGTTTCCCGCCAGAGTTAACAGCTGAGTGGAGGCGGCGCCACCCGGACACTGACACAAATCGGTCAGTATTTACTGGATATTACGTGCCTCTGTTTCTTTTTTTGTTATTTTGATATGAACTTTGGCGTGTTAGATCAATATACTGTAAGATTTAAAGTGAAATATAGGCGTGGAGTAAAACACGAAGAACCTGGCTAATGATTAGGTTAGGTAAGATTCGTCAGGAAACACGATGGATGTTTCCTGACTCGGGTCTTAGTCATATGATGACCCACCATTAGAAGTTCTGGTCATCTGACCGAGGCCTTCTGCTGGCATGCATGTCCATTCCTTTAAAAAATTAAGTTACTATTTCCTCTGGCTAGTGACGGGATGGTCACACCATTAATGAGGTACACGAGGCAGACACTGGTCTTTGCTGTGACTCATAACCCTCAGGGGTATCATGCTGGTGAGGGGTCCTTGATCCAAGGAATATGCGGTATCCTCTCTCCTTGGATCTGACTTGATTCCCCAGGCTTTTTTTTAATGCAGTGTCAGGGGCCCAAGACTGTTCAACTGCCTCCCAGCATACATAAGGGGGATTACCAATAGACCCCTGGCTGTCTTCAAACAGGCACTGGACAAGCACCTGAAGTCGGTACCTGACCAGCCGGGCTGTGGCTCGTACGTTGGACTGCGTGCAGCCAGCAGTAACAGCCTGGTTGATCAGGCTCTGATCCACCATGAGGCCTGGTCACAGACCGGGCCTCGGGGGCGTTGACCCCCGGAACTCACTCTCCAGGTAAAATCCAGGTAGGTGAAAGCGCTAAGCCCGTAAGGGTCATAATGCCTGAGAAATGGGACTCATTCAGATTCGATCCCAGGAAGGAGAAGGGAGATCCAATTCCTTAGATCAAGAGCTCATGAGTATTGAGGAGCCCAGGTGGTGTAAAAATGTTTCTATAAAAGGTCGGTTCTAATCCCATGGAGAATAGTCATTTATATATGCAGACTTTCCTAATATTGACAGAATATTAAAATAAACATGAATAAAACAGTATGGCGTTTACTTAGGCTTCCATAAATGTACCCAGCCTAATACAAAAGTTTTATCATTCCTTTGAATTTAAAGGCTAAGAGCTGCAAACCTTTAGCTAATTTCAGAACGCAGTCTTACCTAATGTATACTACCAGCCCCCAGGATGCCACCCATTACAGTCAGCTAACACCCAAATATTCACTGACAGGTGAACAGAGGTAACATGTGCAAGGAGGCTTGTTCATACGTTTCCACCCTCCCGGGATTTACAGTGTTACACCCCTCAAGGAAGGTTCCTTGATGTTGGTGAGGGGCTCTTGATTTAGGGAATTGGATCTGCTCCAGTTCCCCGAATTAAGCCTGAATGCCTTCCACATCCCCTTCCCCCAGGCGCTGTATAATCCTCCGGGTTTAGCGCTTCCCCCTTTATAATAATAATAATAATAATAATAATAATACAGTGTTACAGTTATAAATTTAGACTTTTGTTTAAACACTTCTAGTTGAATTGTGATCGCTGTGACTATAGTAACTGGCAGTAGTCAGTAGGTTACAGACACTAATAAGTAAAGAGACCAGTCATAAGCGCTCTATCGTTAAATCCCCTCAAGGGAGGTTCCTTGACGCTGGTGAGGGGCTCTTGATCTAGGGAATTGGATCTGTGCTCCAGTTCCCTGAATTGAGCCTGAATACCTTCCATCCCTCCCCCCCCCCACATGCGTTGTATAATCCTAAGGGTTTAGCGCTCCCACATGATTATAATAATTATAATAATCTATCGTTAAATAAAAATTACAATAGAAGAGTTATCTAAAACAAGCAGAGTGAACATATTTGGGTTAAGAGCATATTTCTTTTAACATTTGTAAGGCAGTTCTCCAAATCCTTGGAATTTGAAAATAGGCCAGAAAAAATGAGTACAGTAGTTCACCAAAGTAGGGATAAAAATATTTAAGATTTATTTTATATATTTTGAAAGTGGATTCCCTGAGGGATTTACAAGAGTAATCTCACGTTTATTAATTCTAACAGTCGAATATTACAATATATGATAACGTAACTTCATTCCTCATCCAACAGAATAGTTCTTCCAAAAGTGAACATGAGTAGACAAGAACAACCTGATAATCTGTGGAAGAAGGGCCAAGATGGAAGAAATAGTCATTGTCCCTTAGCTGCTTGGGTAAATGCTTCCCAAGTTAGTGGTTCACCTCAGCAAACACAAGAAGACTCAGGCATGTTTTGAGATATATATTTTTTCTTTAGACAATTACTTAAAACAACCGCTGCAATGGTATTAAGGTCAGATGTCTAGGGTATAAATTCTTGGAATGTCTATGATAAATTTTCTGCTTTATCTGTTCTTTCAGCAAAACAACTTACTGATATTAAAAAAAAAAATCGGCTTAAGGAAGATAGATTACATAAAATAATTCAAATTTATCGTATATTCTTTAACTTAATTTGATTCAATCTCATTTTCTTCATTTTTAATCATTCTGAGCTCT